TTAAAAAAAAAAATAAATAAAAAATAAAAAAAGAATATCTATCAGGAAAAAAGATGAGTTACTAATGTAACTTTAATAAATCTCCAAGTATTTATGAAACAAAAATTAAAGCAGAAAAATACTTAGAAAAATAAAGTTCTCTATGAAAATGGAATGTAAATCCATGGAAACTAGGAAAGTTGTGAAGAACAGGGACAGGTTAAAAGAGGTCCTGAAGCAATTACACAGAGACAGATATGGTCAGCATTATGACTATAATGATGGTTTCAGTTTCATGCACATGTCAAGATTTAGGAAACATGTCCTAACCGGTTTGGCTCAGTGGATAGAGTGTCGATCTGCGGACTCAAGGGTCCCAGGTTCGATTCCGGTCGGGGGCATGTACCTTGGTTGTGGGCACATACCCAGTGGGGAGTGCGTAGGAGGCAGCTGATCGATGTTTCTCTCTCATCGATGTTTCTGACACTCTGTCTCTCGCCCTTCCTCTCTGTAAAGAATAAATTAAAAAAAAAAAAAAGATTTAGGAATCAATATACTTAACACATGTACATACTCATTACAGCTGTTAACAATGGTTCACAATAAAACAAATGTACATTCACCTATTCTGGAAGAACAGGTTTGGAAACTCTATATTCAATCCACATACTTATGCCATCTGAGTGAGAGTCTCATCTCAGTTACAGAAAATGTAACAAACAATGAAGAACTTTCACCAAAATCCACAAAAGCCACATCCCTGGACCAAGGACAGCCTTAGTCTCCATCTTGGTTTTCCTGCCAGCACACCAATGGCTCTGATGGGAACATCTGAGAAGCTACAGGAGCCACAAACCATCTTGATTATAATCAATGACAATGACTGCTCCACAGAAGATAATCATACCTGCAGTCCCTCAGATCTGTGTACACACAGCTCCTGTTGTCTTTTCCTCAAAATAACTCCTGGATGCAGTTAGATAAGGACCATTCCATCTAATGGGCTGCAATCTCGCCCAACAACAATCAGGTCAGTGTTTCTAGAATGAAAGGATTTCTCCCCACTGCTATGGTGCTCAAACCAAAGACCATCACCCGTGAAATAGTAGGCATTAGGGCACATAGCCCTCTGCATGACCTGGGCAAGAGATTCCCTTCACATGTATTGGCATCCCTTGCAAACAAGAAAAGAAATTCATGCTCCCAGACATACTTGAGGTTGTCACAGCTACCCCCTCTTTGCAGTGATCTCTATGTCTCAAAGCATCCAGACATCACATGATGATTAGAGAGCCCACAGTGCTTCCAAGGAAAATATAGGAACAGTGTAAATTTGCCAAAAACTGAGCTACTTTCTGCACCATACTCTTCCCCCAAGCGAAAAATGTTTTAGAACACAATTTTTCACCTCATCACACTTGAAGAGCCCAGATCTTCCTATAAACCAACCCACACAGTAAATAGAACACCCCAGATTAAAGAAGTCTTAGGAAAAAGCCTTCATTATTTTACAAACCAAAGAGACAGGAGACTTGCAGTTCTTCCATTGACGACATAAGCACTCAATAAACTCACCACCAGTGTTCAGGCAAAGCATGTCCCTGAAAAGGGCAGTCCCTCTGCATCATTGTGTTTACTGGGGCCAACAGTAATCAGTCCTATGTGGCGACTCATGACAGGGAAACAAGTAAGAAACAAGGGCTCAGGTATTCCTCATTTTCTTCAACAAATTCGACAACAGAGTTAGCTTCCCTGGGCACATGAGGATGGTGACTGATGCCATCTGTAGGGGCCTTATAGGTGGTTCAGGTGAAATATCTTCAGCAACAGAAATATGCAGTGATGTAGATCTGGCAGGACATCTCTGTATGCTAGAACGTGCAACATAATTACACAGTGTTCCAACTAAAAACACACAAACACAGAAGCAAAAACACTTATGGGAGCTTTACAGAATATAGGTGATTAAATAAATGAGATACAATTCAGAAAAATGAGGATTCACAAATTTTCCTGTACTATTGTTATGTCCAAACTAAGAAATTACATTTCCTACACATCTAAGAAATTTCTCACATTTGTACACTTATGCACGGAGCGAATTTAAAAATTTGGCTGGGATATACCTCACATTAATTGCACTCATAATGGCTTTCTCCAGTGTGAACTCTCTGATGATACTGGAGACTACTGTTCCTTTTAAAAGATTTCCCACATTCAGTGCATTTATAAGGCTTTTCTCCTGTATGAACTCTCAGATGTCGATGAAGGATGGTATTAGTGGTAAAAGACTTCCCACATTCACTGCATTGATAAGGCTTTTCTCCTGTATGAAGTCTCTGATGACGATGAAGGTCATTGCTAACGGGAAAAGATTTCCCACATTCACTGCACTGATAAGGCTTTTCTCCAGTGTGTACTCTCTGATGATATTGGAGACCTTTTCTACCTTTAAAAGATTTTCCACAATCACTGCATTTATAAGGCTTTTCTCCTGTATGAACTCTCTGATGATAACGAAGGGCATTGCTCTGGGTAAAAGATTTCCCACATTCACTGCATTGATAAGGCTTTTCTCCCGTATGAACTCTCTGATGTTGATAAAGGTCTTTCTTAGTGGTAAAAGATTTTCCACATTCACTGCATTGAAAAGGCTTTTCTCCAGTATGAACTCTCTGATGATATCGGAAACCACTTCTACTTTTAAAAGATTTTCCACATTCACTGCATTTATAAGGCTTTTCTTCAGTGTGAACTATCTGATGATAACGAAGAGCAGTGCTCCAGGTAAAAGATTTCCCACACTCACTGCATGTATAAGGCTTTTGTCCTGTATGAAATCTCTGATGACAATGAAGATCACGGATCCTGGTAAAATATTTCCCACATTCACTGCAGTGATATGCCCTTTCTCCAGTGTGACCTCTCTGTTGATAATGAAACCTCGAAAATTTGGTACAATATTTTCCACATTCAGAGCACACACCACATGCACTTCCAAGATGGACACCTTTTTCCTGAATAAACGTGTGGGTGCAACTGATGACTTTCTTACATTCTTTTCTGCTGAAATAATTTTTTCTACTTTGAATCGTCATCCCACGCATCAAAATAATAGTTGGACTGTGCCTGGTCAGAGAAGCCTGTAGGTGGAGATGTCCAGATTCCGTAAGGACACTCTGCCCAACCTCCCCACAGGTGAAATGATTCTGGGACACATTGAAATTGCAGCTGTTTGCAAGTGACATCCTTTCCAAACCTCTAATGTAAGTCTGCTCTCTCACATGCTGCTGGTGAAATTTTGCACACAAAGAAAACCGTTTTGCACACGCTCCACACCTCAACAGTATCTGTCTGTGTTGTGTTCCCTGCAGCTCCATCACGCAGAAAATGTTTCCCAGGACTAGCCCACAACTCTCACAGGGGTGGCTCTTCTGGGAAGACAAGGCTACCTTGGGATTCCTTGCCTGTGACAATCTTCCAGAAACCTTTTGTTCAGTCGGGGCCTCCACATTCTCTTCTCCACAGCAGCAACCTGAACAAAAGGAAATATAGGTGAAGTGCATCTTGACCTGATAAAAGCAGAATATCTTCAACACAGATGTTTATGTCACAACTGGACATGACTCAATACAATGATTTTTCAAGACAAGTGAGCCAGACTCTCAGGAAATGGCTATTATATATAAAACTAGGGGCCCGGTGCACAAAAATTTGTGCACTGGGGAGGGGGTTCCCTCAGCCCAGCTTGCCCCCTATCACATACTGGGAGCCCTAGGGGATGTCCTACTACCTGCTCCCTGCTCCCTTGGGGAGTGGGCCTAAGCCACAGTCTGGCCACCCTTTGTGGGAGTCGAACGGGCTGATCAGGGGAAGGCACCAGCCCCATCACCGCACTGTTGCAGCCACTGCAAGTCAACAATTGCTGGCTGGCTCCACCCTGGTTCCCCGCCTCTGCCGCCATCAACAATCCTTGGCTGGCTCCTCCCTGGCCCAGGCCTAAAGCCTCTGCTGGAGGCTTTAGGCCTGGGCCGGGGCACCCCCAGCTCCCGCCGCCGCCAATTGCTGGTTGGCTCCTCCCAGGCCCAGGCCTAAAGCCTCTGCTGGAGGCTTTAGGCCTGGGCCGGGGCACCCCCAGCTCCCGCCGCCGCCAATTGCTGGTTGGCTCCTCCCAGGCCCAGGCCTAAAGCCTCTGCTGGAGGCTTTAGGCCTGGGCCGGGGCACCCCCAGCTCCCGCTGCAGCCGATCGCTGGCTGGCTCCTCCCTGACCCAGGCCTAAAGCCTCAGTCTGTGGCTTGGAGCCGACATATGCAAATTAGCCGCCATCTTGGTTGTCAGTTAATTTGCATATACTCACTGATTAGCCAATGAAAAGGGTAGCGGTCGTACGCCAATTACCATGTTTCTCTTTTATTAGTGTAGATGGCCAAAAGGAACATCTCACCCAGGGAGGACAGAAGCACAGGCTGGGACAAAAAGAGGAGAGACAGGGTCTGCTCATTATTACTCCACAAATGGCTTCCTTAGGACCTTTCATGCTGGCAATGTGAGTGTGTGTAGAATAATTTCATGTGTGCAAACCCATAAACTATCAATCACATTAGAGCATGTGATGTTCAGCATGAATAAAATAATACATGTGCACTCGAAGGCCTGCAGGCATGGAACAACATTGGAGTGCAGTAAAGCAAGATGTGCTAAAGAGGGAAAGGTGCAAAGTTTAGAGAGGTTAAGGTTATCCATGAGCTGGGAATCTGAGTAGAATGATCACTATTAAAACTGACTCGTGCCCTGACCAGTTTGGCTCAGTGAATAGAGCGTAGGCCTGTGAACTCAATGGTCCCATGTTCAATTAAGGTCAAGGGCACATGCCTGAGTTGCACGCTTGATCCCCTGCAGGGGGTGTGCAGGAGGCAGCTGATCAATGATTTTCTCTCATCATTGATGTTTCTATCTCTCTCCCTCTCCATTCCTCTCTGAAATCAATAAAAATATATTTTAAAAAAAAACAACACAAAAAACTGAGTTGAATGCAAAGTGTCAACATTAAGAAAGAAGTAGAATTGGGTGAGGAATGGGCAATGGTAACTAAACATTTTGAACAAAATGGCTTTCTAGTTATGAATGTAACAAAGCCCTGGCATAAAAACTGCCCCCACTGCCCTTCACCAAGGCAAGACTGCCTCTAGGTCTACCCTCTCATTGATAAAGGCATGTTTCTCCTGTGATGCACAAAGGATTCTGTCTCTTAAATCCCAGTTGAGCCACTGCATGGGCTCAATAATGAAAATCTTAGAAGAAAAATTAAAAAGATGGATGGTCGGCACTGTGGTAGAACAACAAAGTACAAATGAGATCACGGGCAAAAGGCCTAGGAGACTGACATCAGCAAGATGGCAGAATCAGAGATAGAGAAACTTTCCCCATTCAAGAGTAAGTAGACAGCTACTCATGAGAAAAACATCCCACAGGAAATGGTAATAAGAGTATCATGAAGATAAACAGTAATACAGAATACCAAATAAGGACAACTGCATAGAAAGGATGACAGGAAACTGAGTGAGCAAACACATTCCTAAGGTCAAAAACAAGAGTTAATAATAACTCACTAACTGACCGACTAACTTTTTTAAGTAAATAAATAAATACAGCAAGGGTCAGCCCTAGCTGGTTTGCTCAGTGGATAGAGTGTCAGCCTTGGGACTGAAAAGTCCTAGGTTCCATTCCAGTCAAAGGCACAGGCCGAGTTTGTTGTGGGTTCAGTCCCAGTAAGGGAGCATGCAGGAGGCAGCTGATCATTGATACTCTTCTCAGTATTAATGTTTCCCTCTCTCTGTCTCTCTTTCTGTCTCCCTTCCTCAAGGAAATCAATAAAAATGTATTAAAACAAAAGGGTCAGCCCTAGCTGGTTTGGCTCAGTGGATAGAGCATAGGCTTGTGGACTGAAGGGTCCCAGGTTCAATTCTGGACAGGGGCCCATCACCGGGTTGCGGGCCCAGTCCCCATTGGTGGCCGTGCAGGAGAGAGCCAATCAATGATTCTCTCTCATCATTTATGTTTCTCTCTCTCCCTTCTGAAATCAATAAAAATATGTTTAAGTAAGTAAGTAAATAAATAAATAAATACATAAATAAATTAAATAAATAAAAATAAAGTGTTATCACTATCAGCCACTGTGCTTCTATTCTCATTGATCCTAGTAGCCTGTTCTCTAAAAAACTGGAAATTTTTGTTTTTAAAAACCACAGAATGCCCTGGCCAGTGTGGCTCAGTTGCTTGGAATATCTTCCTATGTGTCGAAGGGTAGAGGGTTCGATTCTCGGTAAGGGCACATATCAGAATGTGGCTTCCATATCCGGTTTGCATGTGTGCAGAAGGCAGCCAGCCGATGGATGTTTCTCCCCCACCTCTCTCTCTCTTTCTCCATTTCTCTTCCTCTCTATGTAAAAGGAATCTAATTATATAAACAGCTAGGGGCCCTGGTGGCCTAAATGACCGAACTGACAACCGAACACCGGAAGTCAATCCTGCAGTCACATGGTGACCCAGCACTGACTGCTGCGGCTGCGGTTGGCAGCGCCCCGGCAGGAATCAGTGGTGGGAGTCAGTCCCGGGTCATGTAAGTGGAAACCGTAAGATATAGAAACAAGGAAGACCTATCCCTCCACCTGGGGAGATATTCCCTTCAGGAATAGAAGGGAGCCAGAACTCCCACCATCTCATAAAAACAATACCGCTCCCTTCCCCCCCTCCCCCACACAAACACGCACACACACCTGCAAACCTTGGGCCAAGTGGGGAATATGGACTTCTACACTCTTCTTCAAATAATGAGGTGGTATCTCACCCTTCCCTTACCAGAGCAGTAACAAAACAAGCCAGATAAAACAGGCTTGAAAAGATCCAGAGTTCCATAATGCTCAAAATTTCTAGGTTTCAGCCGAAACCGGTTTGACTCAGTGGATAGAGCGTCGGCCTGCGGACTGAAAGGTCCCTGGTTCGATTCCGGTCAAGGGCATGTACCTGGGTTGCGGGCACATCCCCAGTAGGAGATGTGCAGGAGGCAGCTGGTCGATGTTTCTCTCTCATCAATGTTTCTGGCTCTCTATCTCTCTCCCTTCCTCTCTGTAAAAAATCAATAAAATATATTTAAAAAAAAATTTCTAGGTTTCAATTATCAAATTATTCATACAAAGAAGCAGAAAGATCTAAAACGGAAAAACAATATTTAATTGCTAAGCACTAGTAAACATAGTGGCAGTAGACCTGCTGAACGCAGGGTTGCAAAGAACATGGAATTTCTCACCCTAACCAGTTTGGCTCAGTGGATAGAGAGTCAGCCTACGGACTCAAGGGTCCCAGGTTCGATTCCCGTCAAGGGCATGTACCTTGGTTGTGGGCACATCCCCAGTAGGGAGGGTGCAGGAGGCCGCTGATCGATGTTTCTCTCTCATCGATGTTTCTAACTCTCTATCCCTCTCCCTTCCTCTCTGTAAAAAAATCAATAAAATATATTAAAATAAAAAACAAACAAACAAACAAAAAACATGGACTTTCTGGAAAAATAGGTGTGGGGGAGTTATATCTGCAAAGCACAATTAAGCACATACAAAAATATGTGTTCCTGTATGTAATAAGCAATTAATATATAAAATATACAAGGTATTCCAAATATTCTTTAACGAAAAAAAATATAGTTAACAAACTGGATAAGGATGTAGATACAACTTTTCAAAAAATATTTACACATGACCAATAGGAATACAGAAAATATTTTCCTCACTAATCAAGGTGGAATTCCTTAGCTGCCAACAACACTACCACCCACAAGTCCTTCCCTGTGAATTTAGTGCAGCAGGGAGTATTGGGACTTCAGGAATAGAAGGGAGCAGTGGAAACAGACCAACCCTCCCCAGGACAGCAACTACCCAGAAAACGGGAAAATCAAGCAGTACCACAGTCTACATTGGAGGACAGAGCACACCCTGGGGGCTGGCGCTTGGGAAATAGAAAAGCCAAGTCCAGGTCACTGATAACAGTGAGGGTCTTACCCAGCGAGGATATAAGTTCAAAATTCTCCAGCATCACATTCAGGTACAGCTGTCTCTGACCCTCATCAAGGAGGCTCCATTCCTCCCTGGAGAAGTACAGGGCAATGTCCTCAAAGGTCAGGCCAACCTGTCAGAATGGAGACAATTGAAACCAGACCTGCCTTTCTGAGAACCAGTAATCCTACTCCTTACACACCTTCCGCCCCCCCAAGGTCCTCCAGGGCACCCGGTTAGTGTGGAC